AGGTGATTCAGAAGGATGCAAGTAAGAATCTTCCTGGCAGAGGAGACGATGGCAATGCTTTGGTAATTCCTGCACACTGACTTGTTCCCTTTCTTGAAGATGGCTACAAAGTTGGTGTTCTTTAAGTCAGATGGAACTTCCTTGTTAATTCATGTTTTGATGAGAAGTTGGTGAAATATTTGCACTAGTGCTGTTCCACCAGCTTTGAAGTCCTCTGCAGGGATGCTGTGTGGGCCTGGCACCTTATTGTTCTTGGTCTGAGTGGTGGCACTCCAGATGTCCTTGAAGGGTGGAGGATCAGCAAGAGGTTCTGTTACTGAGTGTTGAGGGATGGCTTCCATCGTGGCAGCTGAGACCTCAGATTCATGGTTGAGTAGAGTCTTGAAGTACTCCTTCCAGTGTTGCTTGATGGATAACATGGTCCATGAGAAGGGTGGAAGCTGTCCTGGGATCTCAAGGGAGTTGGGCCATTGGCACATGGCCCGTGGATGGCTTTTATTACTTGAAAGAAGCTTCTCATGTCATATTGATCAGTAAAACTTTGAATCTCTCTGGCCTTCACTTGCCATCTCTGGTTTGTGATGTCCTGTAGTCTCCTCTGAACTACAGTTTTGAGCCAGTGGTAAGTCTCTCATTTTTGCTGGTTGAAGGGTTCATTTTGCCAGCTGCAGAATGTGAGTCTCTTTTGATGGGTAAGTGCTAGGATTTCCTTATTGTTCTCGTCAAATCAATGTTGATGATGGTAAGTGCAGTATCCAATTGATTCAGCGTATGCCTTTTGAATAATGTTTTTAAGCTCCTGCCATTGTGCCTAGATGTCCTTCATGTCATCAGGTAGGTCAGAGAGCCTCTCCGTAAGTGTTGCTGAAGAGCCTCGCATCTAACTTGGTCTTGGAGTGTCTTGATGTTAAATCTCTTCCACATTCCTTTTGGTTGGTTTACGGTGTTGCGGTGTATGCTGCATGTCCATGATTGATCTTTCTAAATGGTGGTCCTTCCAGCAGTCATCTGCACCTGTCAGGACTCAGGTGATCTGGACATCAGTATGAGCACAGGCTCTGACAATATAGTCAAGAAGGTGCCAGTGGTTGGAGCGTGGATGTTTATTATATTTGTCACTCTGTCTTAAGATGGTATTTGTGATGAGCAAGTCATGCTCTGAACATTTGCTGAGGAGGAAGATAGCATTGGAGTTGACTTTCCCCACCCCCTCTCCCCCAATGGTGCCACTCCAGAGTTGGAGTGTCGCCCAACTCTTGTGTTGAAGTCACCCATGAGAATGAGCTTGTCTTCTTTGGCAGTGGCATTCAGGACTGTGTCAAGAGTGCAGTAGAACTGTTCCATGTTGACTTCTTCATTGTCAAGTGCGGGGGTGTATGCACTGATGACTGTAGCATAGTGGTTGTTACTGAGCTTGAGGCAGAGAGCCATAAGACGTACGTTAATGCCCATAGGGAGTTCTGAAAGCTGGCTGACAATCTTGTTCTGGATGGCAAAGCCAACCCCATGAATGTCTGTCTTCAGATGACTTTCTAAAAAAAGGTGTAGCCGCCTCCTTCTTTCAACTAGCCTTGATCTGCCCAGTGGGTCTTGCTTAAGGCAGCAATATCAATGATGACATTCACGTCTTGTAAGATCTCTAGCTTGTGGTTCTTCTTTCAGGACACTCACTGTTCAGGAGGTCCATGAGAGTGTGGACATTACATCTGGTGAACTTCAGTACTTTATTTTGTTGGTTTTGGCTGCAAGTAGAATGATCCCACTGGATGTGGCAGTCCATCCAGGGGAGTTTGAGACAGTTTATATTTAGGGCACCTTGTCTAGTCCCTTCCCCATTCAGGATGAGCAGAGGGGATCCTAAAGAGGACTGCTCAGTCACGGCTGCAGCTGGCCAATTATACTTCTTTCTCAGTAAGTGCAAAATGACCATCGCGTGACTGCCGCCTATGTGCAGATTTGTGACTAGGGAGTCTCAGAAATCACTGTTCATGCCCCCACCATGACTCATCCGTCACCACAAGACTTGTTTTGTGGGAGATGTTAACATCCTTGGCAGAGGCCTGCACATGACATCTTTTAATGTGGGGAAGCTGGTGTGCAAGTGACATCCACACAAGTTCAGTAGGAGGGAGCCCTGAACCCAGTGGCAAAGACGTCCAAGAAAACTGGAGACCTCTATCCTGCTGCAGCCCTCACCTGCCTTCACATCCACAGAGAAGCAGCAAGTCCTCAAGTACACCTCTTCCACTGCTGGGGTCTTTAGGAGTTTGGATCATGCTTAGTCTGGGACCTCACTTCAGATCTGTTCACCAGGGGGACACCCTACCAGGAGTACAAGACTCCAGACAACGTAACTCTGAGGGTCATTGGAATACACAAGCCTCTCCACCATGACAAGTTTACGGTCCAAGGACAGGCCTTTACCTGTAATCCACTGTTGGCAAATCACTTTGGTAGACAAAGGCTGTGAGCAGGAGAAATTTCCACTAGTAGAAATGTGTCCAGGAAAGGGAGCAGTATAGGCATTCAGTGTGCAATGATCCCCACCCCCTGCTCCTCACGGGATGGGATGTTCGCAGCCTGGGGAAGGCTTGGGGGGGGTGGCTACTCCACTCCTCCCAGTCCCAAGGGGGAGTAGAGTGGTGGGGGAAAAGCTCCCCCCCACTTCCCCAGACTGAGGACTCCTGGGAGTCTTTCTCTACCACCCCACTCTCTACCCATAAGCTGGTCCAGGAAGGGACTGGAGCAGCGGGGTGGAACTCCCAGCCTTTTCCTCAGACCAGTTCCTGGTTTGGGGAAACATGGAGAGCATTGCCCATTACCCTGGGCAGAGCTTCTCGTTGCAGCCCAGCTGGGCAGTGCATGCAGCATTTAAAGCCCACAAGGCCAGGACCTGGGGAAAGGAGAACCCATTTCCTACCCACACTGGCATTTAAATCGCTGCCCAGGTGCAATGTGAAGCCAGAGGTGTGAGGAAGCAGGCTTGGCGAGAGCCTCCCTGAGCCTGGTTCCCAGCCTTGCCATTCCCATTCCCACTACCCAGCTGCAGTGCCTGGTTTGAGAGAAGCAGGGAGCAGTGGTGGACTGGTCTGGGAGGGGAGGGAGGCAGTAGGGCAAAGCCCCGAAACCATGCAGTCTCCAGTCTGGGAAGAGGAAGGGAGCATTGCCCCATTGCTTCCCTCCCAGACCAGACCAGACTGGGAGCGGAGTGTACAAGCATTCATTCTTGTGGAGAGTTTCTTGTAAAGGAAATCTTCCAGCTTGACACCCAGATCTTCTGGGGCCATGTTTCTTTCAGGAGGAATTGAATAAGTACTTGTTTCTACCAGGGTAATGGCAGTCCTCCTACTTGGAAATTCAGTGCCTTTTCATGGCCAAGGAGTGAATAACAACAAAAAATAGGCAGTATACTGAGAAAACTACATTTTTATATGAGACCTAATTTCTGGTCTCACCTGTTCCATACCGTCATAACACACATCTGAAAAAATGTAATCTTCCCTGATAAAAATCCTTCTGGTACCTGGTATATTTTCTTTTCTTTCTCAGGTTTTGCCAAATACCTTAACAGCGTAAGTCAGTCCATGCACTGTTCAGTATTTGGCACCTTTCTGTTTTGGTAGGGTTTTTTTTTCATCTCACCATAATTTCTCTCTAGTAATGGGATTTTTAAATTGCAGCTCTGATTGCTGCCTGACCAGACTGAACCACATTTTGTAAAAGATGTAGATGCTCCACTGTGCTCTTTTCATTTTAATTTAAAAGCTGGATATTCAGGTGAATTATGGCTCTGTTAATCACATTTCCAGTAGTCCCGTGATTTCTTAGAACAAATACATAAATAATTACCGTTCTAATCACTGATTCCAATCTAATGTTCTGAAAGACAAATATTACCCTCCCTTATTCACTGTATTACATCTGCATATTTATTGGAGTGGCTAATGAATCTCATATTCTCATCTTCAAAGCCTTCAGGACTTTTGTTTTCTTGTTTAAATCAATATTTACCTCCTAAGGGCTGAAAACTTGACCCTTTTGTTCAGATTGCCAGGATTAGTCATACTTTGTGGGGCCTCCTAGAGTGAAGACAAGATGATACATGGGTATTGAAGTATGCTAAAGACTTATTTGCAAAAATCTTTCGTTTCTCCCTGTTACCTCTCCTTCACCACCAGCTTACCCCAAAAAAGAAAAACTTCCTAAAGCAGCAGTTCTCAACCTTTTTTGTACCAGAACCCATTTGTAAACATT